ACAAGTTAAAACTGGAGATGTGAAAGGCAATGCAGAGCTACGGATGGAACTTCAAGAACGTCGAATTGCTTGTGAACATCTCACACAACGTGCTCTAGATGCTCAGGTTTATTTCATTTAGTAGTTATACACTATTTGACTAACTTCTTAATACTTTTGCACTTTTAGATACTTATTATCAGATGTATGTGTGGAATTAATATTACAGGTTGAAAAAGATACAGACAAGAGTATTAAGGGGAAATTAGTCTATTCATGAAATTAGTCTAGAGTGTGCCATATGTGCAATAAGCATGGAGCATGCACATGCACTTGATCAAAATGAATGAATGATGGAACTGTTGGGTCAGGAAAGCCTAGATTGATGATAGGTAAATGATCTATGAATTGTTTGTGTGACATCTTGATCTGATATGTCTTGCAGGAGATCTCTGCCCCAGTTGTCGACTCAAATGATACAGTCACTGGTCACATTATTTCCACGACCATTGGTGGCAAAAATGGAGAACCCAAACAGGTAATACTACCTTCTTGAATACCCTTTTGACTTGCTCTGAACAAGTTGTGTTATTGATTCATGCATACATACATATATAATTTTGTGCACGGTGCACACATTTAATAAAATTAAAATTTTCATTAGAATGACATGAAACCATGGCTTCTCATTTGATCGGGTCTTCAAATCAACTGGAATTCAGTCCATACATATTTGTATTTCTTTTTTCTTTTCTATATATATAAATTTTGTGACATGTATTTGTGAATTGTTAATCATAACACAATCATTAACTATTCAATAAGATGTAAATGTTTTAAATGCTTACCTGTTAATGTCCCTCATGTTTTGACTTGACGATATTTTCTCACAAGTGGAGTGTGAGGCTAAAAGTGTTGTGTGAATATCATTATTTTTCTATTGTTTCTCTGAGACATTTAATTTTATAAATTGTTTCTCTCTCCTTATTTTAACTAAAATGTAGAGTTAATTTGTGGAACTGATATCTCAACATAGAAGTGTTATATGTAAGAATATCTATGTCATTAACAGGGAAAGCTTTTAAGCCTTCTTAACATTTTATAGGCACCCAACTTTTTTTTTTTTTTTTTGCATATGATTTTGGACATACAAATGTGGATATATAATATTTTGACAATTACGGGAGGGCATTGTTTTTATACCTCTATCTGTAAATATAGTGGTTCGAACAAATTAATTTGGTTATTCATGTATTATGTATGGATTTAAATTATTAATGTTGGATTAGACTTGGAGTGTGGAATTTGCATTATATATAGAATTGGACATTCAAGATTAATTTTTTGGATGCTTGGAACTGAAATATGTGCACGTTGTTGAATGCTTTAATGATTGATAATATATTTTAGTGTTAATGGATTATATTGTTTATATAAGGTACATGTTGTAATATAAATGAATACAGGTTGTTTACAAATTTTTTTTTTAAAAAAAAAAAACAAAAAATTATTTGGCCACCAAATGTTTTGGTAGCCAAATAGGTAATCAAAAGTTTTGGCTACTAATAATTTAGTAGCAAAAACATAACCTAAAATGTTTTTGCCACCAAATAATTAGTAGCTAAAAAATTTTAAAAAGAGAGAAAGAAACTATTGGCCACTAAATTTTTTAGTCACGAAAAAAAGGGTATCATTTGGCGACTAAAACTTTTGGTGGCAAAAAGTAAAGAAATGAATCTTAATAGGTTTTTGGCTATGAACAGTTTTAGTTGGCAAAAGTCACCACGCCTAAGGTTGAACTTTTAGTGACTAAAAATTTAGTAGCAAAAAGGTCACGTTTGCCGACTAACGAAGGATTAGTAGCTAAATGTTCACTTTCGGTGACCAACGGTTTTAGTGGCGAAAAGATACCATTTGCCTACTAAAACAAATTTAGTAGGGAAATGTTTCATTTTTTGGCGACCAAATGAAGTTTAGTCGCCAATACTATCGCCGACGGGGTATGGGTGACGAACATGGCGACATAAATATTTGGTCGGTAAATAGTTTCAGCGACCAAATTTATGCCTTTTGCCGACCAATAGTTTGGTAGCCAAAAGTGATATTTTTTGTAGTGATACATATGTAACCCTAGGTTGCCTCATACTATTCATAACAGCAACAGGAGCCACCACGGGAGAGAGAGAAAGGTTGAGAGAAAAGAAGAAACAAGAAGAAGATGTTGCAATCAAAGAACTTTTGGGTGTGTTGTGTTGTGTGTGATCATCAAAGGTTAGCCCTCCTAGGTTTTCTTCTCTTCTTTCTTTGTTCTTCATCCTTATTCTATAATTATTTTATTTATTTATGGAGAGGTTGTATTGTATATATATGTATACACTGTTAAGAAATCTGAGGAGCTAAATTTATGTGTAAAGAATGGGTGTAATTCTTAGTTCAAAAATTCTGCACAGAATCACAAACTTTAAAAATCAAGAAACCATATCAAACGGATGAGTTTTAATCTGAAATTTTTCCAGTAGATCAATTACATATTGAATTGCATATCTGAATTTTTTCATAATTTTTGGGAGTCAAAATCCATATAAATTGAGGTATTAAAATCTGTTCAGGAAACCAGTCCGAAACAGTAAATTCGGGAGTGTTGTCCTCTTTGGGTATAAATCCAAAAATTATCAAATTAGTGTCATTAGAACCGGTTACGAGTCTAGTTTCGTATGTTTTGGGCCTTGCATTGATTGCTCGTGTATATTAAGAGAACCGTCAATTTCTTTAAAGTGCTGCAGAAAACAACCTGTTTGGATATAATAAATTGTAGATAATTATTTTGATAAGCAAATCAAGTAAAACCAATTGGGTTTGAAACTTAGGATATATTAGATCATATTTGGAGGTTATTGGAATTTTTCAAATAGCGTGGAGTGGGTTTTGTAATTTTCAAAGTTAGCGAATAGGTTGGGAAGGCTTGTTTAAAATTCTGTTTTATCTTAAAGTCACAATTAATTAAGTTTTGACTGGAACCCATGTCTTGGGTGATTTTAAACCTTGAAGAACATGAACTTAGGTAATATTTAAGAGTAACGGTGAGTTGGGTTGAGCCGTGTTAGTGCGCTTTAGTTGAGGTTACTTAGTTCCTATTTTTTAGTATTTTTAAATTAGTTGTAACGTGTAGTTTTTATACTTGAGTCAGGGCACTAGTTGGACTTTTACACTCTATTCGAGGATTATACTATTTCGTTTTTAGGTGAGTAGTTTCATGCTACATATTTTTATAAATGTTCTCTTACCCTGAACTGTTGGAAAATTAAATTGTTGTTTCAGGACTAAATTGTTTTGATAAATTATTATATTATCAATTGAATCAAATTATTTATGAAACATGTGTGAACTTGGCATACTGTAAACTATTTGTTTTGGTCTCATGTTTATAATGATGATCTACCATGTTTTGCGAAACTGATGTGTATTGATTATTGGGACCATATCTGTATTTAGTCCAGGGAAATTATTCCACTGTGTGTGGTGACTCTGGCCACTAGGGAACAGATCCGGGTTGGGCCGTGATAACTATAGTGCTCAACGATTGTAAGGAAAAGACCTTTAAAAACAACTAGGTGACCTTCAATCGGATCGTCTTTGAGAAAAGGCCCAGGTGCCACCCTGAGGATGACTCTTAGTTCAGTATTGGATCCAACGGGGCTTATAGCCTTGAGAACTGTGTGGCATATTATTTGTTTTTATTGGTACCCAGAAAATTATTGGTGTTCATGTTATAATCTATTTTAAGTGGAAAATGTCGTTCATCATGTTCTTGCGAGACATGAGTATTTTAAGTGTTGAATTGTGGAACCTTCTTTTTGAAACAGATTGTATTTACCAAACTATACGCCAATCTAGTTTCTGTGATATATATCTTATTTTGGAATTGAACCCTGTTTTCAAAACTGTATTTACTATCCATGTTGCTACTCACTGTGCTATCAGCTGACTTAGTTGTTTACCATTTTCAAGTGTTAGAAGGACTTAGAGTCAACTCATGGCATAGCGGGGACTCAATTGCATGGACCTCTAGGGCATTTATTTAATTTGTTTTAGGTTGCTTTGTCGAGTTTTGTGCATACATTGTGGTTGGGTTTTATTTAGAATTATTTTATTTTGTGGGCGGTTTGTGTCCCATTTAGTATATATATATTTTTAGGAAGTTGGTTATGACTTGTTTTTCAATTGTGGCATGTCACTGGATTGAGTGTTGATTTATTTATTTCTGGGCTATCATCACATTTATTCTTTATGGTTTTGGATTCATGTTTTAGGCTTACGTGTGCCTTAGGCTAAGTCCCTGTGGGCCACGGCCGGTCATGCCCGGATTTGGGGTGTGACGAACCTTCTGTTCTTCTCCGTGATTATATTATTGGTTCCACTGCCTTTTGCTCTCATGAACCTACTTCTTATCAAGAAGCTTCTTCTAACCCTCTTTGGCAACAAGCTATGACTGATGAATTGCAGGCTGTCGATCAAACTCATACCTGGGATGTGGTTGATCTTCCACCTGGCAAGCGTACTGTTAGTTGCAAATGGGTTAACAAGATCAAAACTTATTTTAATGGTTCCATTGAGCATTACAAAGCTCACCTTGTTGCCCGGGGATTTAGTCAAGAATATGGGATTGACTATGAGGAAACATTTGCTCCTGTTGCCCGTCTTACTTCAGTTCACAGCTTACTTGCCGTTGTTGCTGCTCGCCACTGGCACCTTTCTCAGATGGATGTCAAGAATGCATTTCTCAATGGTGATCTCACTGAGAAAGTTTATATGCAACCCCCTCCTGGTTCTTCTGTTCCCTCAAACAAGGTTTGCAAACTTCGTCATGCTTTATATGGTTTGAAACAAGCTTCGCATGCCTGGTTTGCCAAGTTCAGCTCTACCATTCGTGATTTTGGTTTTTCTTCCAGTGCTCATGATTCTGCCTTGTTTATCTGTAAGACGGAGCGCGGTACTATTCTCCTCTCCTCTATATGGATGATATGATTATCACTGGAGATGACACAGTGGATATTTCTAGTCTCAAACAGTTTCTCCATCGCCAGTTTGAGATGAAAGATTTGGATGCACTTAGCTACTTCCTTGGCTTGGAAATTTCTCAAGATTCCTCTGGTTATTTTCTTACCCAGGCCAAGTATACTTCTAATCTTTTGGCTCGTGCTAGCCTTACCGATTACAAGACTATCACTACTCCAGTTGATCCTCAGACTCGTCTTACGTCTCTTGACAGTCCCCTATTATCAAATGCAACTTTATATTGTCAGCTAGTTGGTAGTCTTGTCTATCTCACAGTTAGTCGTCCAGATATTGCTTATGTTGTTCACATTGTCAGTCAATTTATGACTGCTCCTCGTTCTCCACACTATGCTACTTTGGTTTGCATTTTGCGCTATCTCAAAGGAACTTTGTTTCATGGTCTTCACTATTCCCCTCACTCTTCTCTACAGCTGTATGCCTTTTCTAATGCCGATTGGGCAGGGAATCCTACCGATCGTCGTTCCACTACTGGGTTCTACTTCTTCTTAGGAAACTCTTCCATTTCCTGGCGTAGCAAGAAGCAAACCCTTGTTGCTCGTTCTAGTACCGAGGCTGAGTATCGTGCTCTTGCAGACACTACTCAGGAGCTTGTGTGGCTTCTTTCTGACATGGGTGTTTCTCATTCAGCTGCCACTAATCTTTATTATGACAATCAAAGTGCTATTCAGATTGCCCATAACAATGTCTTCCATGATCGCACCAAGCATATTGAGATCGATTGCCACTTCATATGACAACATGTTACTAGTGCCCATGTTCGTCTTCTCTTTGTTATCTCTGCTGATCAGACCGCCGACCTCTTCACCAAAGCTCATCTTCCAGGCCGCTTCTCTGATCTCCTCTCCAAGCTCAAATTGATATCTGACTTACCACCTTGAGCTTGAGGGGGGGAGTTAGCTGTATATTATTATAGATGTATCTTATCTATTTGTATTATATCTCTCTCTATCTCTATCTTCTTCTATACTTATCTCTATATTTTCTGTACCTATCTAGGTTTCCTTTCTGCCTATATATAGAGGCTTCTTCTATTGTATTATTCATTCAATTCAATATAGAGTTTCTCTTTTCTCTTCTTTCTCTATTTTCATAACACTTAGAAACAAGATATTTTTCCCAAAGTTGATGACAATGAAATTTGTTTGAACATCTAAACTATTCTGTTACCTTGATTGGGGCTATCTACTAAAGAAATTTGCATGAACCATTTTGATTCTTGGACAAAGGGGTAAGGAGAAATCTAGTCAAAATTGCATTTATATTTTTGGTTTTTTTAGCATTTGAAAATGTATTGCAAAAGTTGTCTTTGGATTCTTTGGTTTTGCCCCTCATCTGTGTTTGGATTTTGAATTTGTGGTGAGACAAACATTGCAAAAGCTCTGTTTCTCCATGGTGCAACTCAAATCTAAAATAAATATAATAAATAAATAAAATACTCTTTTCCATTGTTTCAATAGTTATCTTCCAAACAAAATATTAGAACTCAGCATTTGAATGTTTCTCATTTCATTGATTTGTTATTCCTATAAACCAACTTATAAGCGATCAATTACAAGAAGAGCTTAGATGCCATTGTAACTTTCAACAGCCATAAAATATGAAGGAACATAATCAAAAGAAAGTCATATCTACATGTATTCATTGATGTGTCAAAGAAATTTACCAATGAACAAAGCTTATTAGTGTTGTTGAAGCTTTGACAATAAGACAATTTTGTGTTGTTATTTAATTTATTAGCTTAATCTCATTGATCAATAAAGTCAATTTTCTGCGCCTTTTGAATTTTGCTATTATGAAAATTAATCAGCTTTAAAATGCTCAAGATTTTCAAGTCTTTCAAGCATGTCTGGAGTAAGTTCATGCATTTCTTAAATAATGCAAGGCAAAGACAGAATGGCACGAGATCATGTTGCCTGCATAGATTATAGAACACTGCTTTATTCAGCGTGAAGAATGATGCATTCAATTTCAAACTAAAATTTAATCACTTGATAGAAATTTTCAAGTTTCAATTATTGCATGTTAACCTTCAATTTCTTCTCTCTTTCATGGGAATTAGTTTGTCTAGTGGTACAAACATTAAAGTAAACCCTTAGAATAGCAGGTGGAGTTACTTGCTATGATCATGTTAGGATACAACAGATGCATGAAATGGTCAATGATGATCCGCACATAACTAAAAGTGGGTAGGGGACAACATTGGAAGTTTTTTTGAATGAAACTGTATATTAGATTGAATTAATTGAACAAAGAATACACCAATACATCACTTGTATAGAACACTAATTCTTTCATGACACGAACCCGCCCCTATCTATTTAGGTCATAACCGGCCAATAATCAAAGGATTACCTATGGCCTTCAAACCTGATTGAAGATAATTTCAATAGAATAAGGAGCCTAAACGGAAGCACACGTAAAAATTTTGTCCAATAAGCTGTGCTTACATGATAACACAAAACATTTTATTAACATTCCATAATAACTCACACATGTAGTTAGAATTAACATCTTATATGTCCAGGAACTTTCAAACATGAAGTTAGCCAAACAAAAAGCTCATATACATAGTGATCCAACATATTCGCCAAGGTAACAAAAGGGAAACAAAACAAAAGAAACGAAACAAAGTCTCATGCGTGAGACGTTTGGGTTGACTCCACAAAAACTTGACTTCTCTTATGTCTTTCACTAAGGCTGGGTTTGAACATGTCTTTGCTCACCTACACACATAAATGAGAGTGAGCGATAGCCTAGTGAATAACATCAAAATAAAGGAGTACATGAATGAAATTTGTAGTAGTCATATCAAACGGCCATAGGCCTATTTATGTTTCTATCTAATACATCAAACGGCCTTAGGCCCAAACGTATCAAACGGCCTCAAACCCAATTTGTTCGTGTCAAGCGGCCTTTGGCCCATTCATTCATGTCAAACGGCCTTTGGCCCAATCATTTATGTCAAACAACTTTTGGCCCAATCATTTATGTCAAAGGGCCTTTGGCCCAATGATCTATGTCAAAGGGCCTTTGGCCCAATCATCTATGTCAAAGGGCCTTTGGCCCAATCATTTATGTCAAACAGCCTTTGGCCCAATCATTCTCACATTCATATTTATGTGTCTCATATTCGTGATCATGATCATATTCATATGTAATTAGTCTTATGCAAAAGACTGACATTTTCATCCATAATTCAAAATACAAATCCATGAATCTCATACAGAAGTAACGTTTGGAAATAACGTACTTGAACATATCTTTACTAAGATATTACTCACAGTGATATGCCGGATGATTTGCCCTTGCGCTTGACCCTACATATTTCATAAACGTAATGGGTCACAAGCGATTCAATCCGTTCTTAATTTATATATATTCCTCTTAGGCCTCTTCCTTAACCCTTTAGTTCATGTACAATGTTCAATGCATGCCTAAGAGTGCTTAGAAATGAAAGAGAATAAAAAATGAAACATAAAACAACTTTTCAAAATTTTTGAAATAGGGCGCCCCGCTTGAGCGCAGGTTTGGACGCTCGAGTGGACCCTTGGGTCTGCAAAAGTACTGGTTACATCATTTTTATGCTCGAGCGTGACCCTGGTCGCTCGAGCCAGGAGTTGAAACATGTGAGTGGCCGCTCGAGCGCAACTCCTCTCGCTCGAGTGGACATCTCTGTCTGCAAAACTTCTGGTTGCTTGTATTCTCCGCTCAAGCAGCAACTCCTTCGCTCGAGCGGAGATAGTGAATTCTGGAATTTCCAACAAGCAGTTTGAGCTTCAAATTTGCATTCCAATTGATGTAACTTGCATGTTATGACCCATAATTCACTTGTACATCTTCTAACATGATATAAATACTAAATTTACAACATTATGAAGCTCAATTCCCATGAATTAATTACATGCATACTCAATTTAGACCAAACTTATCTCTAATACTTCAAATTCATGCAACCAAAACTTATACCTCCATGAATTATGCTTGAGTGATGTAAAAGATGATCAAAAGCATGAATCTTAATCAAAATTCAACATGATCATATGTTTCAAGCTCAAATACACAAATTCATGGCAATCTTTTACATGCATGTTTATAATGACTTCAAATTCATCAAATTCAACTTAATTCTTGTTCTTGATTACCATTTAACTTTGAATTCACAAAATTACAAACTCAAACTCATGAATTATGCTCAATTACTCACCTAGGAGCTTCAACCTTCACAATTTTTAGCTAGTTCTAGAGTCTACCCTTCCAAAACTTGAGTTCTCTTGCAAAATCTTCAAGAATGGCTCATTTCTCTCACTAAATTCGGTTCACCCTCTCTCTCTAGAGTCTAGAATTTGATTTGAGCTCAAAAATATGAGCTTAAACGTACTTAGCTCATTTATAAAGGCTTTCCCTAATCACACTTAATTAGAACTAGTCAATGGTGCTTAATTAATTCAATTTAAACTAATTAATTCACTCCGAATTAGTTTTCAATTGAATTTCACCGTAGGCTCTAAAAATTATGTTAATCACAACGGCATAGTCAATTTCGATTTTTGTGGTTGATAAGGCCTTCAATTTTTAGTTTATAACAGTAAGTTGAACAGATCTTCCTACGGTGAACATATATAAGGCCAAAATTACATATAATCATGCAATTAACACTCAAATCCAAATTAATCACATAATCACAATATAATCATGATTGATTAACTTAATACAAGATAGGGTTATCACAAATTCCTAATCCTAAATGAATACATCACTCATATAGAATTCTAATAGATATAGAACACTAAGTCTTAATCCAAAAAGGAAACACTGAATAGGCATATTCTCATATCCCCGCTCAAACTCAAGGTATTTTAGCAGAAAACACTGAGAGTTTGTCAAGAAAAAACCAAAACCGAGCAGTGGTGTGAGTCTTGGTGAATAAGTCAGCAAGTTGCAGAGTCGAAGAGACAAAAGAAAGCGAGATAAAACCAGACTGCAGATGCTGACGAACGAAGTGACAATCAATCTCAATGTGCTTTGTCCATTCATGGAAGACAGTGTTATGAGCAATTTGAATAGCACTTCGGTTGTCACAATAGAGAGAAGTCGAGGAAGACTGAGGGACGCCCAAGTCAGATAAGAGACCACGAAGCTAGATAATTTCAGCAGTAGCATAAGCCATGGCACGATATTCAGCTTCTGCAGTAGAACGGGCAACAACAGTTTGTTTCTTGCTTTTCCAAGAAATCGGGAAATCTCCAAGAAACATACAGAAACTAGAAGTAGATTTACAATCATTTGCATCACCAGCCTAATCAACATCAGCATAGGCCACCAAATCTAAGGAAGAAGTAGAAGAGAACAGCAAGCCCTGAAAGATAGTACTGCGAAGATAGCGAAGAATCTAAAGCAAAGTGGCCCGATGTGTTGAGCGAGGAGCAGAAACAAACTGACTAACCACATGGATTGCATAGGCATAATCAGGGCAAGTAACTGTCAGATAGACTAAGCAACCTACAAGCTCGCGATATAACGTAGGATCGTCTAGAGGAACACCATCAGTAGTATTGAGCTTTACATTAAGCTTAATGAGGGTATCCGAAGCTTAGTGTCAGTAAGTCTGGCACGATGGATAACCTCGTTGGCATACATAGCCTGGGACAGAAAATAACCCCTGGAAGAAGAAACCACCTCAATTTCAAGAAAATACCGCAATAGTCCCAGATCCTTCATTTTGAAGGTACGGAAGAGGTGCTGTTTGACCTCAGAGATTGCAGAAAAGTCAGAGCCAGTGATAATCATATCATCTACATATAGTAAGAGAGCAACAAAACCAGCCGAGGTATGTCGCAGAAATAAAGTAGTGTCGGAAGCAGAAAGATGAAACCCAAGC